GGGTCAAAGAGTGTGGACTTTTAGTCACTTTGCGTAATTCCAGATTGCCTTCCAAAATGGTGGTAGATTCCTAGCTCCACCTACAATGCATTAGGTTTTCCCACAACCTTGGTTCTTGCCACCTTTTGTCATCTTTGCCAGTTTTCTAGGTGTGAGGTAGAATCTTAGTGTTGTTTTGATTTACCTTTCTCTTATTTGGAGAATTCTTCCATTATGGTTGTTAATAGTTTTACAATTCTTCTTTTTAGAATTATTTGTTCATAACCTTTGACCATTTTTCTATTAGAGAATGTCGTCTGCTTTCTCTCTCTCTCTCTCTCTCCATATACACATATGTGTGTATGCATACACATACATGTATATTTTATGTATATATTCATATGTCTATTTGTTGTCTATATACACACATACATGTAAATGTAAATGTATATGTATATCTATATATCTTGGATACCAATCTGATACATTTACTACAAAGATTTTTTCCTATTCAACTACTTCCCTTCTTATTCTATAAATTTTGTTTGTATAATAGCTTTTCAATTTCATATAATCAAAATTATCTATTTTATCTTTTGTAATTGCCTCTATCTTTTGTTTGATTAAGAATACATCTACCCAAAATTGTGAGAGGCATATGATCTGCTTCTCTTCTAATTTTTTTATAGTACCATCTCTATTAAGGTCAAATAACCATTTTTAAATTTTACTTAAGAATATAGCATGAGATGTTGGTCTAAACCTAATTTCTGCCAGACTGTTTTCCATTTTTCCTCATCTTTTTTTTTTCAAATAAATTACTTTCCAAAGTAATTTATGTTTAGAAGTTTATTGAACATTGAGTTATTGAGTTCCGTTGTTTCTGAATCTCCCTTGTCTGGTCTGTTCCATTGAGCTACTTCTGTATTTCTTAACCAATACCAAACGGTTTTAATGGCCACCATTTTCTAGCATAATTTGAGGTCTGGAAGTACTATTCTTCCTTCTTTACTACATTATTCATTACCTGATTCTCTTGATCTTCTAGATCTTTTGTTTCCACAAATGAATTCTGTTATTATTTTATCAAGTTCTATAAAGTATGCCTTTGCTAATTGATTGGTATAGTATTGAAATTGTAAACTGACTTTGGTAGGATTGTGATTTTTATTATATGGGCACAGCCCTGCCTGAGCACTGAATCATCCTCCTATTATTTAAGCTGATCTTTATATTTTTAAGGAGCACTTTGTAATTGAATCTACACAAGTATTTTGCATAACTTTAGCAGATTGGTCCACAGATACTTCATGCATTTTGTAGTTATAATCATAATAATAGCTATCATTTGTGAGTGCTCTAAGGTTTACTAAGCACTTTACAAATATTATTTCATGTGATACCTAAATCACCCTTAAAATAGTTGCTATTATTATCCCCATTTTACGGATAGGAAACTGAGGCAGACAGAAATTGAGTGACTTACCCAGGATCACACAGTTGTTAAGTGTCTGAGGTTAGATTTGAAGTCAGGTCTTTCTGACTCTAGGTCCACAACTCTTTCAACTGCCACCCCTTTGTTTATTTTATTACAGTCATTGTGAATTCTGTAACTAAATTTACCAAACATTTGTTAAAGTACCTGCTATGTGACAGTATTGTGCTATACATTGGAAATAATAATGATAAAGACCTTGCTCTCAAGGAACTCATAATTTTAAAAGATAAACATAAATAACTAAGGTAAAGGCACAAGGATTAGTATGAAAAGTACAAAAGAAATGTCTAGGTATCTGTGCTCTAAGAAATGATCCTTTCACCTTGGCAGTGGAGAAAGTTATAGGGCATGAAGGAAAGACTTCAAAGAACTTTTAAAAAAGCACCTGCATTGAGTCTCTGTGTGTGTGTGTGTGTGTGTGTGTGTGTGTGTGTGTGCACACGTTCAATCCTAAGCCCCACATTTTTTTTTAAGTTTTGGGAGAATGTGGCATTTATTTTATACTTTTTTTTTCACTTTTTGGTGAGGCAATCAGGTTTAAGCGATTTGCCCAGGATCACACAACTAGTAACTGTCAAGTGTCTGAGGAGGATTTGAACTCAGGTCCACAGCTCTATCCGTTGTGCCACCCAGGTACCCCTATTTTATACCTTTTTAAAAGTTTTTCTATAGTATTTTATTTTTTACAATTACATGAAAGATAGTTTTCAACATTCATTTTTTATAAGATTTTGAATTTCAAATTTTTCTTCCTCCCCTCTCCTCTTCCCAAAATGGCAAGCAAATCTGATATAAGTTATACATGTGCAATCACTGCATTGAGTCTTGAAAGAAGGGAGAACTTCAAGAGGCAGGGATGTAGGTTGGAAAGGGGAATGTGGTCCATGCCAGTATGAAGTACTCCTGTGAATCCTGATACCCAGATTGGAGAAGGCAGGGCTAGAACAGAGAAAGGAAATAATCTAGTTTGGGGACAGCGTAGAATATAAAAGAGGAATATGGAGAGGTAGGATCAAGGGATTTGGAGCTAGAAGGAACCTTAGAGATGGTCTAATGCAGCAGGTCCTTGAACTTGGCTTTTAAAAAAATTTGTAATTTTACTTCAAGATAATTATTTTCCTTTGAAATCCTGTGTTTTATTTTACACATTTAAAAACATTATTCCGGTTGGAAGTGGTGGCAGCTCCTGCCTGTAATCCCAGCTATTGGAAGAGACTGAAGCTGACATCCTGTGTTGGGGAACTCTGAGTTGTAACAGGGTTAAAATGAGGGGTGTGCTGGTAAATGTTCAACAACCAGCTCTGCAAAAGAAGATTGCTATTTTATGTTTAATCTGCGTTATTGACATTTTCTCCATCACTTTCTTAAGTCTAGGCAATCAACAAAACAATAAATCAAGCCCTGATTTATAGCATTTGACAAGCCAATCTGTGTCCAGTGTCCAAAATATAGCACAATTATTGGGGGGGTGGGGAGTCCTGTTATAACTACCAGGCTGCTTAAAGATGGGCAAATCTTCCAAGGTTGGAAAAAACGAGGAGGTTAGAACATCCATGCCAACCAGTATTGTGAGCGGTCACTACACTTGCAGCCTGGGCAAGGCAGGGAGACCTGGACTGAAAAAAAAAATCTAGGAAGGGGTCCTTAGGTTTCAAAAAGGTGCTTGACATACACATAATACCGTTAGAACTCCTGGTCTAATCCAACCTTTTCATTTTTCAGATGAAGAAAATGAGGTAAAATGACTTGCCTAAGGCTACAGAGGAAAAGAGTAGTAGAATCAGGATTTGAACCCAGCTCCTTTGACCCAGATTCAGGGCCCTCCTCGTTACACCATAACTGGCAGTTAGAACCAGATTGTGAGGCTCCTTGAATGCCAGAACTAGTTGCTTTAACTTTATTCTTTTTAATAGGTAAAGTGCGGACCAGTAAAGTTTTTTTGGTAGAGTAAGGACGTGATAAGAGCAGTGCACTGGGGAGGTTACTTTGGCAGCAGTGTGAAGGATGCATTGGGGATTTGGGGAGGTTAACATTAAACGTCCAGAGAAGGTAATAAAAGCCTGAACTAAGATGATGAAGGAGTAATGCGTGTCCAAATGAAGAATGGACGGGGATCTTTTCCACTAAATGCTCCTAGAGGAACGACTTTTCCGATCTGACTCAGAAACCTTGCACGACACTGTCCCATATGGAATGTGCAGACCTCTTATCTAACAAGAGCACAGCTGCTGTCTGAGAGCCTAGCGGGGCAACCCAGCTTTGGTTTTCCCTTCTGCAGCAGTGGTAAAGGAACTACAAGGCCCAGCAGGCAGCTGCAGGGGGAGGAGGAGGAGATGGAGGTGGGGACTAGAGTATCGTCTGAGTGAGTGAAGCAGTGAGTGAGCCTTCCAGGCGCATAGCCTTAAAAGCGCTCCAGTTGGATAAGCGGGCACCCGCTGAAGCTGCAGCAAGAGCAGCCTTGAGAGTAGGCAGGGGTTGAGCAAAAGCTTAGACCCGAGCTCAGCCGCAGCACGCCAAGAACCCCAGGGAAGCGTACCTGGATCGCCTTAAGACAGCGTCCAGTAAAGACCCAGAGAGTCCAGGCTTAGCATATTGAGAGGACTTCGTCTCTCCCCGCCACCCCCAACCCCAAAGAGCCGTTGCAGCTGGAGAAACAACTGTGACTGAAGACTTTACCTCCAGTCCTGGGGATACATTGCTAGTGCTCACATATACACTCGGATCTGTACCGCAGCAGTAGCCGCCGCCACCACCGTCACAGCCTGGACGAGCTGCGGAGCCGGAGCCCCTGCGGGGAGATGGAGCCCGGGCTGCAGAAGGTGTGAGCCGTCCGCAGCCCAGGCTCTCCGGAGGAGGGGGATCAGGGGGTCCAGAGACCCCAGGAGGCGGAGGGGAGAGCCCTCCGCCCTCCCCCCCTCCGGCGGGCACCCGCTTCGACCCCATTGTTCCCGCCGGGGCTGGAGGCGCCGTGTAGGGGCCGCTCCCGGGACTTGTGCACCCGCTGCGGGGCTCTTCTGGCCCCGCGGGGAAGGGTTCTGTCCCTGGGACGGCTAGCCCACTTAAGGGACCTGGACTCCCAACCACTGGAGCTGCGGCCGACTCTCCTCTAGGGGAAAAGCAGCCCAGACAGAGGTAAGAGTGGCTGGGGCCCCTCCAGATACGAGGCCGCCTCTCCTTAGCTCGAGATCCCCCAGCCAGGAAGATCCCCTTCTCTCCGCTTGCACCATCCTCCTGACGCTAGCTTAACGACCTGTAACCCTTTGGAGCTTAAGCTGTTTGCTGTGCTCTGGAGGTCTCCCCTCTCCTCACCCCTCGCTCCCCCCTTTTGTCTCCCCTTCTCTCCCTTCTCCCGCTCGCAGTTGTGCGCCCCTACCCCCTCCGCGCCTCCCTTCCAGCCCGGCTCCTCCCGCCGCCCAACTTCTCCTCAAACTAGCGCCCGGGGTTCTGGGAGACTGCGGGGTCTGCAGCCTCCAGGCCGGGGGAAAGGAAAGGGCCAGGGGGCGAAGGCAGCCGGCGGCACAGGGGTCCGAGAACGAGGGGAGAATTGTGCCTGAATCTTGAGTGTGCTGCATTCCACTCCACCCCTCGTGGTGACTCACCCCAATACTGCAGCAGGTAGCTTTGGTCCGACCACTGGATCGGACCGATTTCTAATCCCTTTTTTCCCACTCCCAGTAAAGTCCGGGCCCCGATGTGTATGGGGGTGGGGGGATGGGGAGAGGTGGTTGGATAGCTTTTCTTCGTTTAGTTTTTAGGGAGGTGGCGAAAGGTGGCGTCACTAAATGGCAAAGAGTCCGTTTTAGGGGAGGGCGAGGAAGGTATTTCCTTTAGTGGAGGGGGTTATCTTTTCCTACGTAGTATTCCTTAGGGGCGAAGGGAGGGAAGTTGAGGGAAATTGGAAGGAGCCCAATGGACGAATAAACCCTTGTGTGGGTTGGGGGTGGATGAGGGTGGGAGGAGGGAGGAGGAGCGTTCAACTCAACTAATCTATCTGGATGTGGGAGATGAGAATGTTTTGTCCAGTGCTGTTCACTTTGCAGTAGTGAACCTTACTCTTCTTTCTGGCAAAGATCTGGCCTGGATTAATTTGCCCTCTGGCCCCTGTGTGATTTTCTGGAGAGGCGGGCTGGCTAAAAAAGGGGGGGGGGACCGGAAACTCAGTTTCCAGAGTGACACCTTTGTATAGTTTGGCAATCCGTGTTGGCTTCATCCCATCCCCCTTTCCTCTCTCACTCAACTGGGGTGGGGGTGGGGGAGTTAGGGAGTGGGGGGTTGAAACCAGTCTGCTTCTGCTGGGACCCAAAGCGATTGGCCCATTTACAAAATGTTGCTGTGGTCTCTTTCTCGCTCCCCCCACTTTTAAATTTTTTTAGTTTTCCAGATGTTGCACCAGTGAACCCCATCTGGTTCCATTTCACCCAATACAGGCAACATTGCAAACACAGCGCCTAGCATTTGTCTGTTACTTTTTATTCCTCTCCCCACCCCAAAAATGCTAAGATCCTTCACTTTCCTAAGGGGCCAGGAGCATTTCCTGCACCTAAGAGATGGATGGGAGTAGGAAGAGAGAGGAAGGTTAACTTGGACCCCAGGTTATTGGAACTTCTCTTCATCTTGGGCGGTAAAAATAAATGGGAATAGGAGCTTTGGAGGAGGGGGACGGAGGTGCTGGAGAGATATTTGGGTAAACCACTCTCGAGTGGTAGACTTCATTCCCTTAGGGAACGACTCCACTGGGACTCAAAGCTGATGGCGGACCGAACTCTCTAAAGCCCCAATATTTCGCTTTTGTGCTTTGAATGAAAAGAAAACGGGAAAGGTGTCCTGCCCTGTTGGAGCTTGGATTTTGGGGGGATGAGGAGGAACTCTAGGAAGGGGGAGCAATTGGCCAGAGCTCTTGGACTGCTGTTCCTTGGGCTTTCTGGGAAGGCCGGTTGCCCCTTTCCCATCGAGGGAGCCCCAGGGGGCCGTCCCCCAGCGGTGGCAGTCATGCGTTGCTTTTTCCACTCTTCCTCTGGAAGGCTGGTATGCGGCGGCGGCGGCGGGCGCTGGGGGCGTGTGAATGGGGCCAGGTTGAGGTGTTTGCTCTCGCTGCCCCAAGCCTAGTTGGTGTCTGTGTTTTTTAAAGAGTTTGGATTGCAGCCCCCGGAAACTAAAGTGACTCTGCCCTACCTGGCATTTAAATAACGGTTGCCGGTTGAAAAGCAGAGGGAGGGTGTGTATGCGTGTGTGTTGAGTGTGTGTCCATTCCTTAAACTAGGAAAGCTCCTTATGGTCCAAAGTTTAGTGGGGGAGGGAGAGAGAGGGAGTCAAACTTCCCTCCTCCCCTCCCTTCTGTCTCTCTTTCAAATTGAAAACACTTCTCTGGTTTCCTTCTCTGGGCGGTAGTTTTGGAGGTTGTAATGAAATCGCACTTTCTCTAGACATGGTAATTAAGGTGACTGTTTCCTCAGCAGATGTGCCCTGCTCCCAGCACCTCCGGACCCAGGCTTTTTTTGGTATACCGACTGCCCTGCAGCCTCAGGACAGTTGGGCGGGTTGGTGCTCTCCCCCTCCTGTTCCCGCCTGTCTCCCCACCCTCACATCCCCCTTCCTCAGCCTTTTTCCACCCCACCCTTCGAGGATGATTTTACAGCCCCTACGAAGTCCAGTTCTGGGACTTAATTAGCCCACTGGCCAGGGCTTGGGTCTCTCTCTTTACTTTCGGGGAACGGATGAACAGCCTTTGCTGCGAACTTGCCCTTATGGCCTCCCTAATGACTTGTTTACATATTTCCTCCCGGTTAGGGCTGAAGTTTGTCGGGAGCAGCTCCAGCCCCGATCCTTCTAGCACCCGGTCAGTATTCAGTGTACTGGAGAAGCCGGACGCCACTGCGGACTTGGCTCCCGCCCGGGGTTGTTAAGCAGCTAGCGGCTGACTAGCTCCTCGAAATATCTGTTACGTTGACTCTTAGTCATAGCTAGAGCTAAGTGTTATGTCAGTTTTTAATAGAGATCGTCCAGATTCTCCGGCCACTCCCCATACACGCTCCCTCTCAGCATGCTTCGGCTTGGGCGGGGTGGGGGGGAGAGTAGGAGGGTAGATATAATGCACGTTTTGGAGGGAAATGAGCATTGTCCCCTGGATATTTTTCACTTACGTTAAAAAGTTTCAACAATGAGCGCTTTGAAAGTGCGGCTGCAATTATAGAATCACAGAACATATAGAATGTTCGAGCTGGAAGGGACCTCAGCTTAGGGGTCGTCCAGTCCAACCCCCTCGTTTAGCTAGTGAAACGCCTGGAGTAAAGACACTGTCAGAAGCGTAGAAGAACCCAGGAGTGTTGGTTGATGCCATTGTCCTGCAGATCCTCGAGGAAAAGGATTAGAATACATCTAGCAAGCCCTGCGCCTGGGAGGGAAATTTTCCGGTCCATACGACCACCAGCCTTTGTCCCTGGTTGCTAATGAGCCCGGGAGAAAAATGAGGGTGGGGGCTTTAGTGCTCTCCATTTGGGAGGAAGGGGATAGTTGCCCGAGAGAAGACGTTCATTTGGGTACTTAAATTATGTTTATGTATTTTTTAAATTTTACATTTACTCATCTTTCCAGTTAAAAAAAATCAGCCTATGTTAACGATGGTACTGCCTGCATATATGTAACTCCAGTGTACTCTTTCCATCCAATGACTGTACATGCCAGTATTTTTACATAAGTATTGTCCTACAGAAAGTACTTCTGCTTTTCCCACTTTGCCTTATTTTTCATAGGCTTTTCCATATTTCTCTTTATATTTGTCAATCTTTATGATGTTGGTACTGCTAGGGGACCAGTGTTTGTTGTCTCAGAACCAGCCAAGATCAGTTCTGAAAGGCTCATCCCCAGAGGACTGGCTATCAGCAGAAGTATTTTTTTCCAGCTTCAGCAATTCATGACAACCAAGGGGGGTTTGTGGTGTGGATAGAAGGGGCACCCACCATCAGTGAATCATATATCCTTTAAGTGTTGTGGTAGATAGAAGATTGGGCCTATCAGACACTAGCTGTGTGACCCTGGGTAAGTCACTCTAATCTATCTCTGTTTGCCTCATTCCACTGGAGAAGGAAATGGCAAAGCAAATCTAGTAGCCTTGCCAAGAAAGCCCCATGGATAGTATTGGCATCCTATGGTCCCTGGAGTCAAGCAGAGTTGGATAAGACTGAACAACAAATAGTTATTAATTACTCCATTACTCACATTTCTACAGAGCACTTTCCTCACAACCACCATGGACAGGTGGGTAGATACTGCAAAAATTAATATTCTCCATTTTATAGATGAGGAAACTGGTACTCGGGGAAGTTAAATACCTACCAGAGTCACAAAGCTAGTAAGTGAACAGAGAAGGGACTCCACCAAAGACCAGCTGGGGGGTCATCCATCGCATCCCAGGCCATTGCCAGTTGTCCTGACTTTTGTATTGCCATTGGACTTTCCCAAGAAGCTGACAACTTATTCACACGCAAGTCAAGCTATCACCCTATGATGTCATTGGTCCTTTTCAAAATGAAGGATGAACAATATAACCAGCCCTTTCCACCAGGGCTGCAGCTTCTCATTAGTGTACTACAACAGTCTATTTATCTATCCTCCACAACCAAACAGTAACATTTAGATTTATTTCCAGTTTTCGCTGTTATAAATAAGGTCAGGAAGACCTGAGTGTAAATCCTGCAGCCATCACTTACTAATGGTGTGACCCTGGGCAAGTAAGTCAATTGACCCCTTTTTGCCTCAGTTTCTTCATTCCTTAAATAAGGACCTTAATTAATAGTCCCTACCTCCTAGGGTTGTGAGGATCAAATAAGAAAGTAATTATAAAGCACTTAGCACAGTGCCTGAAATGTTATAAACACTATATAAATATTATTATTATTATTATTATTAATATACTTAATTTGGAAGAGCCCTAGATGTTGGAAAGGAATTCAGGGGGTCATCTTTCTAGACCCACCTACACCTGAGCTGGAATCCCTGACAAATGACCATTCAGCTTGAAGACCCATGCCCTCCCCCCCACACACACACACTTGTTTTACCCATTTTTTTAAATAAAACACTGCACTAAAGCCAATGCTTCAGATAAAGGGTATGTTTGGGGCCACTGATAACTGTTGAGGGTCACAGACTATTGAAGCATAGGATCTGGGCTGAAAAGAATCTTGGAATGCAGATGGGCAAACCCCCACGTTTTTTTAAAAGGGGAAACTGAGGCCTAGAGAGTTAAGTAACTTTCTCAAAGTCATACAGGAAGGTAGTATAAATAGCAGAACCTGTATCTGAGCTGAGAACTCCTAACTCCAAGTCCAATGTTTCTCTCACATTTCAATCTCTATGGGTCATGTGGGTCTGGGGGCTTCCTTAGAAAAGTTAAGGAGCATCTTTTCTGTATTTCAAACAATGCATCTTGAGAAAAGGAAGCAGACAGAACCAACTCAAGAAGCTTGTTCTGGAAGGGCCTGAGCTGACTTGAGATGAGTTCACTTACTCTTGGGGAATTCATCTTACATTTCTCTTCCCAAGAGCTGTGTAAGCGATCCAAATGTAGTATATATACTGTTTATATAGTACAGGTATTCCTGGGCTATATATACTTG